TATCCCACAAAGACCTTGGACGGAAGATAGCGTCATGGATAGTATGCCCTTTATTCTAGGCTGGAATTTTAATCACTTTGTAAATACATAAAAATTGGGAAAATATTCATATGATGACTACGAACATTAAAACAGCCTGGTAGTTCATTTTCATAACGTAGACTAAGTTCACATCACAATTAGCAAGACATAATGGTAAAGTTTTTTGTAATGTCTAACAAATTGAAAAGATATTGCACAATTTTGCTTTATTTCTTGTCCTGTTTATGCAATACGGATCAATGTTCAATAAAAAACCGGGGCCTTTTGAAAACAAACTCAGTAACTAAGGCAATTCGTTTAAAATTCGAAATTAAGTGACACTCTTATGATAGATTTTTGGAATACGAACTTGCCGGCAGACTGTATTGTTTGGCTCTTAAGGACGTAAAGTGCAATGCCTCAAACCGATAAAGATAACACTAAGTTTAACAGATCAAATTAGATGGTAGAACAATGGCAGTGTTTTGTGACGATTTTAAGAGCAAATGCTATCGATTATTTAACCTATTTTTTTCTATTGTGGTCGAATTACATAGGAAGCTGTGAAAACATCTACGCATTATTTTGATTATTATCATTCAGATAGCAGGAAAGCGATGCATGGTTTTATTTATTCCATTGAATTAGTTCGAATAACAGAATGTTTTTTTTATTAACAACAAAAACCGGACGAAGCGTATAAATGAAAGAGCTTATCGCTAAATCTTGCCAAAGCACTTTGGAGTAGCTTCATAAAGCCCAAAAGTAGAGATAGCAAATGCGAAGGGCGTTATTAAACTGTTGGTACAAGTTTACCCTTGCATATATTCATTTTAGCGATAAAATAGTAAGCACTAATGTAAGTTTTACAAAGTGTATGATTACGTTTTCAAGAAATACACATAAACCTAACTGTTGAAAGTAAGATACATCCTTCTCAATTGTATAGAATAGGCTAATTACCTTATAACCTAAAACTCCTTAGACTTATAAATAGAGGATTTTGAGACTATGAGCATGACAACCATATTAGATGTATTCACCCTATTTTGTTTAAGGTGATGAAAGACTGGTGGTTACATTTTCCCACAATTATATGAGTAGAACTGACGTTTCCACTGAATTTCAAATAACCTTTGGGTATCCCTACTGGCCTTCCTTGAATTTCACATCTGTCCTCCGACCAGAAGGCACTCGTGGCAATGTGGCCTATTGGTTAACGTGTCGAGATTACACGTTGCATTGTCATAGTTCGACTCTCGCTGGGGGTGTTGTAAAACCTAGCGAGGTCGAAACTGCAGTCCAGTCTGGATGAGAACATATTTTGGGAAAGAAAGACTATGGGAAATTCAATATAAACGTCAGCTATACGGTGGACATATGACCGTAACTAACCGAATAACTGTATACCTGATCAAATAGGCCAGATATAGAGTATATATACCGCTTTTTAGGGATTTGCCGGTTAGTTTTCTTGACTCGTAAGCTTGCATTTTGTTGTGACGATGTTACCTCGCTCTGATGATGTCCGTCATATAACGGACAAAAGCTTAGCACCTTTTTACCGGAATCGAAGGAGATTGCCTCGGAAACAGCGTCGGCATGAATCTTCCAGTAAAGCCAATCGAAAGCTGGTCAAGAGGAATGCGCCGTCATCTTCTGGTGGAACCGACCTTAGAATCTCTTCACCCAACACTTTCACTCAAAATGGAAGTAAGCTCAACAATTATGAAACAAGAGATTCCTCGAACCCCAACTTTTCTTCGTATATACTCATCTAATTGTGGGAAAATTCGACTACCAGTCCTTCATCACCTTAAAAAGAAATGGGGTGAATACATCCCATTATAAAGTTATGGCAACCGCAAGAGTGAGTATGTTAAAATGCATTTTTACACTCGTTTCTTGATTCATCAACTTATGAATTGCATTTTCAGGTGACCTTTCATTGTCCAGTGGAGGTACAGTTGTCTCTTCCTCTACAAACAAGGATGATTTGGCCACTGAAACTCTTAAGCGGCACCCTGTTCCCCTTGGACAACTGAATCCCTCTTCAGGAGCCTCCATCATGGCGCTCTCCGCTACCTCTGGCTTTATTGCGCACCACTCAACCCAAATTCAACTCCCGCCCCCAGCACATCATCATAATCAACAACAACTAGAAAATCCAGATCAGCATGATGCACTTCGAATTCACCATCAGCAGCAACCACAACTCCGTCAGCAGCGAAATCTTTTGAGTCGCCATCATCCTCACCACTTACTTCAGCTGCCGCTGTCTCAGTCGCAGAGCCCTCATGCCTTGAACAACCAAAACCCTCATTTAACATCTCACAATCCCCATGTTCATCCAGCTTCCCACCACCATACCTCAGCAGTACATGTGAATCCAACCCATTTGGCCTCGCCCCCAATGCCAAGCCCCATAAATCCTAGCTCTCTGATTCACACTCTCCCATCTGCCCCGATTGCCACTGCTGCGGGAATAACTTCACCT